CAATTCCATTTTACTGTGGCACCTGATGATCAAGTAGCAATGTTGCCCAGTAAAGAAATAATGGTACATTTGAGTCATTGAGGCTACTAGGTAAGTATGAAATGTAAACATGGGAACTGTTTAATGATAAAAATATTTTGTGTCAATTTCTTTAAAATATATGATTTACTTTTCCAACGAATATCAGCAAAATAATGACTTCGTATGATTCTGATGGACACAGAATTTTATCACCAAACAACTTTTCCTTTTCATCTTGGTTACAACTGATTAACACCTTATAATACAGTTAGCAACCTGACTTTACCTTATGTTTTCATCCTTATTTCCCTTTGATCCAATGTCTTTAGAAAGCTTAATACTCTTCTATTATCCTACGATATGGAATATATCCTAGGAAACTGCCTGTAAGTTTTAGAAGCAAGGCAGTATAAGTCGACAAAAAGTTTATGCTTTATTATCTTAACAAGTATTTGTAAGACACTGTACTGGAGAATGATTACAAAATTTTCTATCATTAACAAGCTAGAGACTTAAGAAATTCCAGAACACATGCCATTATTATTCTGTCTGCATATACATTCAAATGTAGAAAAAATGTAAAATACATTCTTTAGGTTTCATCTTAGTTTGCTCTGGGTAGACAGGTTACAGTTACGTGTTAAGAAGACAAAATCACTCAGATATTTTTAGGAGTGGCAATTGACTAATCTTTCTAATCCCCCTACTCCTCCTTGCCTATGACCCTTACATAGGTCAATGAAGCTTAATAAAACATTACTGAAGGGAAAAAAAATTAGGTTTTTCAGTCAGTTTCTAAAATCAAGAACACTTTCACCAGAATTTGAACAAGAGTTTGTTTTTATGAGATCTTGTTATTCTGAGGTAACATTGTAGGTGTTCCTAAATCACAAATGTTTCTAAATCTGTTGCTTAAATCATAATCCCTGGACTTTATTTAAGCACAGAAAATACTAGCATGAGGGAGAATACTGCAAGGGTGTTTCATTTGAATAAATAACTGTTGCTTAAGTAGCAAAATTGTTAATAGAGGCAATTATTATGTGACATTATGTTTTGACATCTTTGAATGCTTTAAAAAATGTGGCAAAATGTAAAAATTTACCATTTACATCTTTTGGGTATACAATTCAGTAGCATGCTCAAAAAATGCTGTGCAGTCATCATTATCATCAATTACCAGAACTTTTTCATCATCTCAAATCAGAAACTCTGTACCCATTTGAACCAATGCCCAATTCTCTCTTTTACATTGTAACTTCTATTTTACCGTTTCTATGAATTTGGCTGTTCTAGGCTTCTCATATAAGCAGAATTATACCATATCTGTCATTTAAGGTCTTTGCATAGGAGGGGTCTTATTTTGCCTTCTTTTTGAAGTTAAAGTTGTTCTTATTCACTTCACTTTGCTAAAACGTTTGCAGAATTCTGTCCAGTGTGGATGTCCAGGTTTTATGGCTTTTTGTGTATTATATAAATTTTACAAAAAAAAATAACAAATAACTTGTGAGAAGGTTAGTGTAAGGAAGAAAAAAAACAAAAAAGTTAAAGTACAAGAAAAGAAAAAGCTGCAAAAGAATTATCAGTTATTAAAAGTTATTAAAAGATATAAATACTTCATTAAAAGGCATAAAAATGTGAAGCAGTAGACATGTGCTGAATGTAATTAAAAATAAATGTTGACTGGAAATGGACTGAAATTACAAGAGATTTAATTTAGCACCACATGTGTGCATTTTTTAAAAAAGCCTAGAAGGTTATATACATAAACAACAATGACATCCAGGTGGTGGAATTACGAACGGTTTAATCTTTTTTCCTTTTTTGAGCTTTTCTGTAGGTTTATATTTTGCACAACAACATAGTTTCATATTCTGCACAATGAAAAAGCATTACTGTGCAAATTAAAAAACACACTAATTTGAAAAACCACCAATGATATACTGAAGAATATTTTATTGTATCATTACATTGAAACAAAGCAAAATAATGGTAATTACCAGTTTAAATAAACCAGCTTTCTCCTATCTATAGTGTATATATAAACTAGCAGGAATGAAATTATATAATAGACAAGAAAAAGGTTTCTTTCTCCTGTATAACTGTTTTTTTTTTTTACACCAGTTGCAATCAGATCAGAGAACAGTATTATAATCAATTTATAAAAGCTATAACACTTAGCTGCAAATACAACCAAGTGAAAAATACTACAGCAACCTTTTGATTTCAATGGGAACATTGCTGAGAATCAAGACAGCAATTTAGGGACAAGACAAACTTCAACTGGCTCACATGTACCATGTAAACTAAACCCACCTAGAAAGCACATGCAGACCACTGTGAAAGACAGAGGTGTTGTACCAAAGGAAATCCTTTGGTAGATGTGCTGACTGTGCAAATCATTCACACATCTACTGGTCCACTCTGTTGGAAAGTCCCATGAATTTGAAAGGAAAATAATTAACAGACAAATGTTCTTTCTTCTTCTTTTTTTTTTTTTTTTTTTTTTTATAGAGGCATGCTTTATTTATTTGTTTGCTGGTTTCTTTGTTTGTTTTGTTTATACATGCACTGGGTACAGTCAGAAGCGCGGGAGGGCGAGAGAATTCACCAGAGCCAGAGCGGGGAGCAGAGCAGGCAGAAGGACCGAAGTACACTGCTGAGGGGAGCAGTGGGCAGCAGGAGAGGTCTGCGCGCCATGTGGGACCCTCCTCCGGTGGCCGGGGAGCAGCCGGGGATCGAACCGGCGCCGCAGAGGCCGCAGGCAGCTTCGCAACCCAGCGCTCAACCGCTGCGCCACCGGGGAGGCCCTCTTCTTTTTTTTTTTAAGATTTATTTATACAAGCACTGGGTACAGCAGAAGCGCGGGAGGGTGAGAGAATTCACCAGAGCCAGAGGAGACAGAACAGGCAGAGTGACGAAATACACTGCTGAGGGGAGCAGGGGGCGGCAGGAAAGGTCTGCGTGCCATGTGGGACCCTCACCCGGCAGCCGGGGATCGAACCGGGGATGGACCCGGCGCTGCACCACCGGGGAGGCCCCAAATGTTCTTTCTTAACCTTAATTATAACTGTGTAAACTACAAATAATGCAAGTTGTCAAAGGAAAAATAAGATTAATCAGTCATCAGGGATAAAATTAATCAGATTAATAGAGAGGAACTCAACACAACTAGATGGCACATCCTTATAATTGAACTTGGGCAGTAAATATGAACCAGGAGAAATCTCGGTTTCTCTGATTCTGTTTTTCCTTCTATAAAATGACAGGAGTTGAAACTGAACAATGGATCCTAAATCTAGACATGCTTCAGAGTCACTTGCAGAGATTCTTTTTTTTTTAAAGATTTATTTTTATTTATTTATGCATATAATAACTGGGATATAGGCCAGAGGTGCAGGGGATGAGAGGATTCGCCAGAGACAGCGTGGGAGCAGAACAGGCAGATCTGCAGGTCTATTGAAATAAAATGGCTGAGGGGAGCAGCAGGTGAGGCAGGTGAGTCTTCCGTGCCATGTAGGTCAGCTTGGGGTGGGGAGTGGGAGAGTTAAGGGGGAGATGGAACTCAGGCAGCAGAGGTGATAGTATGACAGCACTGAGACTTAACCCCTACACCACCAGGGAGGCCCACTTGCAGAAGCTCTTAAATATGGAATCCAAGGATCCTGTTCATTATATCTATTATAATGGTTTCTCCAGGGTCGGTACACTCAGGGACTCTGCCCGGGATCTACACTTTAAACCAAACTAAACCCCTAAGATGACTGTGTAAGGTTAAATTCACACCACTACTTTTCCATAAAAAAGATGAAATGAAGGCCTCTCTGGTGGTGCAGGTGGTTAAGCACCACGCTGTGAAGCTGTCCGCAACTGGTTCGATCCCAGCTGGCTGGTGAGAATGCCACATGGCATGGCAGACTTCTCCTGTCTCGCCTGCTGCTCCCCTCAGCAGTGTATTTCAGTCAGCCTGCCTGTTCTGTCCCCCACTCTGTCTCTGGTGAATCCTCTCACCCTCCTGCACATCTGGCCTGTACCCCAGTTTTTGTATAAATAAATAAATCTTAAAAAAAAAGATGAAACGAGATATTTCCTTTAATTGCTAGGCACAGTACCATCGATAAATAAACCACGGAATCATAAGGCAACATTGCTGATGTCAAAAGGATTTCAAATAGCCTACTCATTCAGTAAAACATCGCTATCACATGGTTTTAGTATTTACTACCAAGTAGAAGATAAGCACTGATTCAAATTTTTTTTCCTGATCAAGAAATATGTGTGTATATGTGTGTGTATATGAGTATGTATACACACACATATATACATATATAGACATATTTAAATAGAATATAAATATTCCACAGTAAGTGCTCAATTTCCTGAGTTAAAGTGGGCAACAAGTCAGTTATCATCATCCCACACAATCAAAAGCAAATAAATAAAATAATTTAATTTGAGCATTTGAATGGCTATTATCATCCAACTCCCTCTCAAATAAACAACTGGTGCCATTCTGAGTGCACAACATCCCTGAAGCTGGGTGCTATAAGACAGCACTTACATGGGTAGCACAACATGAAAATTAACCAGGGACCACCAAAAGTAAATATGCAGTTGACCTAAATAGAAATAAATTATGCCTAGAAGCCAACTTTTTTTTTTTAAGACCAGACTAAATAATTCATCGCTTTTCTAAAAATTACTGAGTCTAAAAAGTTGAATGAGGTTTATTTTGCATTTATCAGGAGAACAAACAATAGATCTTATTTCAATGATACATATTCAAAGATGTTAATGATCCTTGTAAATATGTATCTAGATATTTCACTGATGAGTATATCACAATATACTGATATAAATATACCTTAAGCTCCCAAGCTCTAAATATTTTAAAAGCAGAACTATCCACCTAAATATGTATATAAAATAAAAATGTGCACTTATTTCCTGAAATATATTCAAATAGAACTAAGTTTTACCTTGTGAAAATGCCATCCACAATTCCAATTGTTGCTTCCTCTGCAGGAACATAGGAGCCAATCTGAGCCATGATAGTAATCAATGCAACTTGTTTTATATAGGAGCTCTTTCCACCCATGTTTGGTCCAGTAATTATCATTACTCTTTTTGAGTCTCCCTAAAAATTAAAAAGCAATGTCACTTACTGTACCAGAAGGGCTTTTATTTTTTTTAAATTTATTTTATTTTGTATAATTCTTACATCATTTTTCATTTTTGCACAATGTATGCATTTTCATTTTGGTTATATTCCCCATACAATTCCTACCCCCCTTATTTTGACCCTAATCCCTCCTCTCCCCCCCTTCCCCCGTAGTGTGTCTCTCGTTTATAGTTGCTTGTTGATTTTGATTTTTTCTTTATTATAATTAGTCTTTTTCCTGGTCCCTTATTTAGGTTTTCTAAAATTCCTGCTATGAGTGAGACCATCCGGTATTTTTCTTTTTCTTTCTGGCTTATTTCGCTGAGCATGATCCCAGAAGGGCTTTTATATAGCATCTAAAATTTATTACACAAATGGAAATTCATTAGGAAAAAATTGATTTGTGATACTCAAATATATCACTAATTAAGCATCAGAGAGGAAAGAAAACCTCTGTATTCAATTTGAGCTATACAATTGCATAAAAGTGAATTCTTAGCAGCACACTTGACTGTTTCAGGATATAAAAAAGGAAAAAAGAAACAACCTGAACAAGATAGCTACTATCAATTTCCATCTGTCTACCTTAAGCTATAGAGGTACAGATTAGTATAGCTAATTGCCCAAGGCCCTAATTTGAGTTGGCAGCACATGAATTTTTTTCAGTTAGAGATGGGTGAAAGCTAAAGAAAGTTAGAATGCAAATTCTAGATACTGGTTTTGTTACAGGGCAACCCCAATGTGAAATGGGTTGGCCTGACTCTGGGTTCTCACCCACGTGCTTAACAGGGACTTATAACGAGACTCAACTGTAGGCATACACAAAAAGGTTAATAAAGACTTTATTTACAAAAAGGGGAAATGAAGAAATGAGTGACTCAAGGGAGAAAGAGAGAGAGATAAATTGGTGAATGCATCTTCCCAGTTTGGTTCAGCTGGAACCACAATAGCATGCTGAAAGCCAGCAGAAAAACCAAGGACCCCCAAGGCCTACATATAACAAACCTGGCTGCTTAACTCCACCCTCAGTTTCCAGTAATCCTCCCTTTGGTGGCAATGACATTATGGAATCTGTAGTGCTTGGTGTCTTGGATCTCTGGTCTGGCTGGGGGTGGGGTCCATAAAATCTACTTGTGAGTTTATTCAGAACAAACATCCTTTCCCCCAAACAGTTTTATCAACACTAAGTTATTCACAGGCATTTCACCAGAGAATGTGAAGGAGGCAGAAGAGTTAAAAAAAAACTGGTAATGACAATTTCTATAACTTGCCTGTATTAATCACTTATAGTACTTGCCATGCACAGACTCGTCCTAGGTAACTGCCCAACTACAGCCCTCTATAGAGGGCTCAATGTGGGTACTGTGTGAACCCACAACATTGGCAATACCTGAACAGTCAAGAGTAGCCACCTCATTATTAAACAATGATCTAGGAGGAGGCTCCAGATAAAAGCTTTTTTGAGGGCCTTTCTGGTGGTGCAGGGGTTCAGTCTCAATACTATCAAGCTATCGCCAGCCACTGCAGCATAAGTTCAATCCCTGGCCAGGGAGCTAACCCCCCTGGAGCAACAGACCTCTCCTGTCTTGCCTATTTGTCCTCTCAGCAGTGTATTTCAGTAGATCCACCTGTTCTGCTCCCCATTCTGTCTCTGGTAAATCCTCTTACCACCTGCACCTCTGGCCTACACCCCAGTTCTTGTATGCATAAATAAATAGAAAACTGAACAAAGCCACAGGGTAATAGGAACCATAAGTAAGAAGTTACAAGGAAACAAAAGGTATGAAGAAAAGTTATACAGAATAAGAAAAGAGGGTGGTTAGTAATGAAGGAAAAGAAAAAATAGGAGTTGAAAACTTCAAGCAAACAATGAGCTATCAAAATAAAACATTTTAAAGTCTTACTACTGAGGAATAAAGAAATCTGCTCCATCTCTAAAGCAGTCTCACATCCTAATTAAGCAAACATTTCCAGTTTCCCGAAGGCCAAGCTGTGCTAAAGATCTTGTTCTTCCTGTGTGATTCCTTTTTCTAATGGTCACATGTGGCTCTGTAATGAGCCTAATGAATCTCCATTACTTGTAAGAACTTACATGAACCTGTGTTTCTTGGAAACACAAAAACCAGCCCAGCAGAGTAAGAGCAAGGAAAGAAATGTGGGAAAATAGAATGATAATACTAATAATCAAAACTAATTTTCCTACAGACTTAGAAATAATAAGCCTATTATAAACAACCAAAAATTTAGCATGACTAAATACTTTGAAATTTAAATAAAGTGAACAAATTTCTTTTTAGAAAAATGGCAAAAATGAGTCAAAAATAGAAAATCAAAATAATCTTATTTCTATTAAAGAAGTTAAATTTGCAATTAAAAACCCTTTCACAAGAGAAACTTCAAACACAGATAAATTCCCCAATGAATTCTTTCACACATGTAAGATATAGCATCAATCTTTAAAAAAAAAAAAACAAAACAAAAAAAAAAAACAAAAAAAAACTTCCCAGAAAACAAAAGAAACTCTTTCCAGATTATTTCAGAAGGCCAATATAATCTACATATCAAACCCTGACAAGAAACACTAAAGGCAATTTCACCTATAAATATATACATGATACTTTAAAAATATTGATAAATCAATCCAATAATATACAAACATTTAGAGTGCTTGAGAAATACAAAGTTCGTAATCCTCAAATACAAATATTCAAAGATTCAACCATACAAAAATTAAAACTTCTGTAAAACAAAAGATATAAAGAGTGAAGACAAGCCATAAAAGGGAAAAAGAAATAAAGAAATTTGCATTATATTTAATCAACAACAGATTGTTTAATCAATAAAAGATCAGTATTTAGTTTTATAAAGAACTTCTAAGAAATCAATTTTCTATAAGAACAACAAATAATTTAGAAATATAATTATAAAATTGGCATGATCAATGTAACAAAAAAAGAACACTGACTAATAAATATGGTAAGAGATGTAAAAACCCTTTATGGAAATCTAAATTTTTTCTAACGACTTAAAGCAAACCAAAACAAATATTTATGCAGGAAAAATTTATGTGTCATAAACAATCATAAAGATGTCAACTTTCCCTCAAACTGATATACAGGGTCAATCCAAATCAAATGAAAATCCTAGTTCCACCTCTCAAAGGCCAGAATAAGTTGATAATAAAATGAAATAGAACAACAAATGCTAAGGAAAATTCAAGGCTCAATTTCAAACTAAAGAACTCAGTTTGATTAGAAGAATAAATGAGGAGAATTTTCTCTATCAGATATAAAGAATCATAGTAAATAAGACTATGTGATTTTAGCTCAGGGACAAAAAAAGCCTGCATAGTAAAAAATGACAAAAGTCCAAAATAGTTCTGTTAAAATATGGAAACTTAGCATGAGGTAGAAATAATTCTGCAGAAATAATGTGGTAGAAATAATTCTGAAGGGAAAAGGAAAGATTTGAAATGGAGCTAGACAACTGATTACCCATAGGAAAGATGGGATTAGAATTCCACCTCACACCATATATAAAAATAAGTTTTGAGTTACTTCATGAAAGATCTCAGTCTAAAGTAAAGCTTTAAAATATTTATAAAAAATTATATATGAATATCTTTATATCCTTGGAGACAGAAAAGAATTTCCTAAGTAAGGCACCATTCATATGGAATAGACAGATACATTCAACTTCATTAAAATTAAGACTCTTTGGTTATCAAAGTCATCAAACTGAAATTGAAAAAAGACAAAATTACTCTAAGCAGTCTCCTAACACTAAAGTATAGATTCATTATCACTTTAAAGTTCTATGTCTTATGTCTAGTTCTTTAATCCATTTTGAGTTGATTTTTGTGTATGGTGTGAGGTAGTGGTCAAGCTTCATTCTTTTGCATGTAGCGACCCAGTTTTCCCAGCACCATTTATTGAACAAACTTTCTTTGCTCCAATGCATAGTCTTTGCTCCTTTGTCAAAGGTTAGTTGACCATAAATCTGTGGGTTTATTTCTGGATTTTCTATTCGATTCCATTGGTCTGTATGTCTGTTCTTGTTCCAGTACCATGCAGTTTTGATGATTATGGCTTTGTAGTATAGTTTGAAGTCTGGGAGTGTGATGCCTCCATTCCCTTCTTTTTTTTTTTTCAGGAGAGCTTTGGCTATTCGGGGTTTTTGGTGATTCCATATGAATTTCATCAATAATTGTTCTATTTCTTTGAAGAATGACATTGAAATTTTGATTGGAATAGCATTGAATCTGTATATTGCTTTTGGAAGGATGGCCATTTTAATAATGTTTATTCTTCCAATCCATGAGCAGGGGATGTCTTTCCATTTCTTTGTGTCTTCTTCTATTTCTTTTAACAGTGTTTTATAGTTTTCTTTGTATAGGTCCTTTACCTCTTTTGTTAGATTTATTCCCAAATATTTGATTTTTTTTGTTTCAATAAAAAAGGGATGATTTTTTTGATTTCTTCTTCTTCAGATTTATTGTTTGTGTATAGGAAGGCTACTGACTTTTGCGTGTTGATTTTGTATCCTGCCACTTTACTGAACTGATTGATGAGTTGAATTAGTTTTTCTGTGGACTTTTTGGGGTTCTCTATGTATATTATCATATCATCTGCAAATAGTGATAGTTTGACTTCTTCTTTTCCTATTTGGATTCCTTGGATGTCTTTCTCTTGTCTTATTGCTCTGGCTAGGACTTCCAGTATTATATTGAAAAGCAGTGGTGAGAGTGGACATCCTTGTCTTGTTCCAGATCTTAATGGAATTGCTTTCAGCTTTTCACCATTGAGAATGATACTGGCTGTTGGCTTGTCATAGATGGCCTTTATGATGTTGAGGTATGTTCCTTGTATCCCGAGAATTTCAAGGGCTTTTATCATGAATGGGTGTTGCACTTTGTCGAAAGCTTTCTCAGCATCTATTGATATTATCATATGGTTTTTATATTTCTTTTTGTTGAT